AATTACACTGTTATTGGGTGGCTTGTGAACTCAATGCAGCCACAGATTAGCCTCTATGGATGAATTCAGCAATGGAAATCTGGGACAGTGTTGCAGATACCTATTCCCAGAAGCTAAATGTGGCTAGAGCCTATAAATTGAGAAGTGATGTGAAAAATTTAAGGTAGGGGGAGAAATCCCTTGCTGTATACTTCTCAACCCTGAAGTCCCTATGGCAAGAAATTGATCTAATAGAAGCTGTAACTTGAGACACCACCAATGATGCAGAGACTTACAGGAAACTAGTTGAAAGAAACAGAGTGTTTTTCTTAACCGGACTAAACCCAGAATATGACATTACAAAACAAAATATTTTATCCAAGGAAAGTGTCTCATTGTCACAAGTGTATGCTTTGGTGAGCAGTGAAGAAAGCAGAAGGATGGTCCAGGTTCAAGGGGTTGGTATTAGTGATCACTTTGCGAATATGGGGGTTAAACCCAAAGGAGTTGTGGGGGCTCCTAGTGGCTCTGGAAAGAAAGAGGTTGTATGTGAATACTGCAAGAAGCCAAAGCACACCAAATGAAGGGATGAGATATCCATCGTATGGACGCCCGAATCTTGCGGAATAGAACGGGCGAATTTCAAAAATTTCTCTCCATCCTATTGGGAATCGTATTCCCTATTTTAGAAAAATCATATTTTTCAAGGATCAATCTTGAACCATGAACTGAACCAGATCTGAACAAAAGCAGTAAGAGAGGGATATACCTGATACGGAGAAATAATATCTCCCAACGAAGGTGTTCACCCAAGGAAGGATCCAAAGACTGCTCCCACTGGAGATGGCGCAGTGCAGGATGGAGCAGATTTAGCAGTGTTCTTCCCAAGAACCTAATCCTTCGCAAAAATTAGTAGGATGGCACGTGAGCATAGCTTCCTATCAGTCCCTTCACAAGAAACTGATATCAAGATCCAATCTTGATTTCTCCCACTGAACTGGAGATCGAATTGATAGGTGTGGCGGTGGCAGGAAGGAGTCGGCAAGAGAGAATTTTCGCAAATGTGCTGGATTCTCTCTTCTGTGATTTCAACTCTGAAAATAGGTGATGAACTTGTGTGTTTAAAGGTTACCGCCCCCTCCTCCTTATATAACCTTAAAGGGATCAGCTCCTAATCCCATTAGGAGTTGCTGATCCAAATATGATTTGGATCAGAATTCCCTTTAAGTGATAAGGGTAAACCCTTATCTTATCTACAGATTAGATCAGCCTTCTCCTAATCTCATTAGGAGTTTTCCAGATCTGAATGTGATTCAGATCTAGACTCTCTGAGTGGATAGGGTTAAGACCCTATCTTATCTACTAATCCAATCCCAGAATTCGCCCCTTATTTAACTAATCAAATCAGCCCAGTTCGAAATGGGCTTTAGGCCCATTAAGGTTATGTGCTCACTTAGCCTTCCAAACTGCTGCCCAGTTGGGCTTCCTTGTATGG